CAGACTTAGGGGTTTCTTTGTTTCTAGAGATTTCGTCATAGTAGTGTTTAATATAATTCTGGGTGTTTGTAACTAAAATTCACTGTTATCCTTCTTCAACTGTAGATTCTACTGGGAAATGAGGAAAAATCAGCAGTAGAATTTATTGGGTTCAAAGTGTATAAATAAATAATGATGTGGGAAAGGGAAGTCAGGGTATCCTGGAGGAACTGATTTACCAAAGGTAATATTGAGTGAAAGAACTTGAGATAATAGAGACAATGCTTTATGTACTGTTGCTGGTGCATATTAGGGGCTCTATAAATGTCTGAATGAATAATTGCTCTGGACCCAAATATGCCTTTTATTTAGTTAGTTGCCTGGGAATTATTCCTTGATAAATTGCCTTTGATAGTTAAAAGGCTCATTTTATAAAGTATATATATCTTTATAAAAATGGCTAATTGATGTGGCATTGATACAAGCCCAACTTAAATCTGTTAATTCTAAGGGATTATTTCAGTTTTCAAGTCTTTGTAAAGGATTCTTTAGCCAACAAATTGGAATGTTGGCTAGATTACAGTGTTTTTCCTTTATCTTCCTTCCCCCAGTGCTTCTGCTATGCCCAGACGTTCAAGGTCACTCATGGGATTTGTGCATAATGGGGCAAAAGGTTGGTTAATGTGGTCCTATCCTCTCAGTCTCTAGGTAACAGGAGAATTCGAGTGGACGTTGCTGATCAAGCACAAGATAAAGGTAAGAAATCTGATAGAAATCTTCCTGTTTTGTTTTGGTCCTAGGATGACAAAGCAGAGGTGCCTGTTCTCAGAAAATTTTAATAGAGATGCAGAGCAGTAGGCCTGCCTGAATCTGGAGCACTAGTTGCCAGTTAAGGATGATTTTGCTCAAGGGGGCATTTGTCAATGTGTGAAGACCTCTAGAGTTGTCAGAACTGGGAAGTGCTACTGACTCCTAATGGGTAGAATCCAGGGATTGCCGCATAAGACACAACAAAGAATTACCCACCCCAAAATGATGGAAAGACCCTGATTGATCTAGAGGAACGTTAAATATGTAATAAATAGATTAGGTGTGCCTAGCAGCACAAGAGGGGCCTCATTCATATGTATTTCAGAGGTTCCTGGCCTGTACACAGAATGAGACCTATAGGCATTAAACTTCATGGTTAATTAAATAAACCATGAGGTTTAATACTTACCATGAGGAAGTGAATCACTCAGTTAAGTTGAAGAGTGCGCTTTACGATGATGGGGCATCAAAGTTGGGACAACTTTGTGATGATATGAGGAAGAAATACAGTATGTTGGGGGAAGGCTCTGTGCATGTGACAAATAATCAGGCAAAAGTTTTTGTGGGCTAACTTGTTTTTATTTTATCTCTATAGACCGGGATGATCGTTCTTTTGGCCGAGATAGAAATCGGGATTCTGACAAAACAGATACAGACTGGAGGGCACGTCCTGCCACAGACAGCTTCGATGACTACCCGCCTAGGAGAGGCGATGATAGCTTTGGAGACAGTAAGTTCATTTTTATCGAGTGAGTTTCTTCTGTGTTCTGAGAACTGTTTTGTAATAGGACAGATATGTCAATGTAAACGATCACATTAGCAGAAAGGGAGTAGGAGATACAGAAAAAAATTTTATGATCTTCAAAAGAATTGATAGATGCAGAAAAAGAATTTGATAAATTTATAATTAAAAAAAAATACAGAATTTTGGGGTGCCTGGGTGACTCAGTGGGTTGAGCGTCTGACTTCAGCTCAGCTCATGATCTCACAGTTCGTGAGTTCGAGCCCCATGTCAGGCTCTGTGCTGACAGCTTGGAGCCTGGAGCCTGCTTCAGATTCCCTGTGTGTGTGAGACACACACACACACACACACACACACACACACACACACACTGCCCTTCCCCCGCTCACACTCAGTCTCCCTCAAAAATATACTAACATTAAAAAAATTTTTTTTTAAACCTTGCCAAAGATTAGGCGGGAGATTTCACTCTCTTTAGGAAATAGTTGTTTATAAAGAAACCCAACAGATCTTACAAAGTAAGGAACTATAAAAAAGTTCGGCAAGATTGCTGGGGTAAGAACATTACACAAAAATTGGTTGCATTACTAGCAGCCAGCAGTCAAAATGGAATTTTTTTTTTTTTTTTCAACGTTTATTTATTTTTGGGACAGAGAGAGACAGAGCATGAACGGGGGAGGGCCAGAGAGACGGAGACACAGAATCGGAAACAGGCTCCAGGCTCTGAGCCATCAGCCCAGAGCCTGACACGGGGCTCGAACTCCCGGACCGCGAGATCGTGACCTGGCTGAAGTCGGACGCTTAACCGACTGCGCCACCCAGGCGCCCCAAAATGGAATTTTTTAAGACACCTTTCAAAATAACAGAAAATTCGTTCCTTCAAAGATACTAAATGTTTACCCTGTACCTGATAGTGTTGAAAGCTCAGGATATAGCAGTGAACAAAACAGACGAGGGGTGCCTGTGGGTGGCTCAGTCTGTTAAGCATCCAGCTCTTAATCTTTGCTACAGGCATGATCTCACGGTTCATGAGTTTGAGCCCCACATCAGGCTCTGCACAGACGGCAAAGAGACTGCTTTGGATTCTGTCTCTCCTTCTCTCTGCCCCTCACCTGTTTGTGCTCTCTCTTTCAAAATAAATAAATAGACTTAAAATTCTATCCTCATTGGACATTGCTTATACTAGGGGAGAGAAACTGTGTGCAAATAAATAATTCAAAGAAAGGAAATAAGAGAATGTCATGGGGTAAGAGTTGGGGTGAATTACAACGTTTACACAAAGTACCTAAATCTAACAAAAAATATGCAAACCTTTATGGAGAAAGTGAGGCAACTTTATTGAAATATGTGAGGAAAGAATACTAATTCGATGAAGAAATGACGAGATAGCAGTTTGTCCATATAATAAAATATATGTGTAATGATAGGGATAAAGTTTAAAACCTATAATGTTGAGTGGGGGTATAAACATTTGAACAACACTATCATATAGTAGTGTTCATGCATAAATTATAAAAATGTGTGCAGGGTAACATAACCACCTTCGTGACTGGGTGAAGGTAGAAGGAATCCTTTAGCTATATTTGTGACATACTACTTTGAATCTAGTTTATATCTGACTTTTCTATCAAGTCTTTGTGACCAGACAAAGCCTTGGGGAGAACTACCTGAGGTATTGCACGTCAACATTTATGCAAGAGGTTCTGTTGTTAACAGAAAGAAATGGCTCTTGAAAGAAAAAGCAGTCAGACCAAGGGTCCTGTTTTGAATCCAGGGACATGACTATTTCCTCACTTGAAACCTTGAGTTTGGAACAAGCAAGATGGATAACAAGAATGAATGTGCTGTTGTTATCCAAAGCTGCCAAGTTGTTAGAGATTCCTATTCCAAGCTTTGGGCCCATAAAAGACATGGGGAAAGGTATAGTTGTACTAAATATTATTGTAAAATCTTAGCAAACATTTGTATATTTCTCCGCCAGGTGTTTCAGTGAGTACAAGTTTATTATCATTTTAATATTACCTAAATAAAATTAAGTATACAGTTCATATGTCTCTCTAGAAATCAAATATATATTTCAGAATAAACACGTGGCTGATTTTTTGTGTTTTGAATTCTTCAGATTCTCTCCCGTGTGTAATTGTTTTAACAACATTAGCATGTCCTTTAACTTACCAATTTAAACTACCAGGGAATGTGGACAAAATGATGTTGTTTCCAAAATTAAATCATGGTTTAAAAGGAAGAAGTCATAAAAATAAAATCCTTGTTTGACCTGTGTGCATGAATTATTAAACTCAAAATGTTTTTAAGTTTGTTTGTTGTAATTGTTTCGTTCATCTCTGGAAGATGAAGTTTTCATATAAACGTTGGGGCTCCTGGGTTTCTTAGAAAATTGGAAGATCTAGCAAGTTAGCCAAAGCTAAATAGCTGCTACCTCCTTTTATAAATGCCTCACACCATTGTAGTTTGCCGCCTGAGCTCTGCAACATTCTTAGATACAAATTTCTGGAATTTAGGCACCTCTGATACTGATATTCATGCATGTGTGTAAAATACAGTTTTCAAGTGTCATAGTAAATACATCTCTTAACTCCGTTTTTAGTGGTTGCTTTTTATAGATGCCCCCTGACTTAACCCATAGCTTGTGCACTCGACAATTTTTTAATATTATACACAACATTCCTGTGAATCTCCTTGTACATGTCTTTATTAAATGTCCTGTTATTTTCTCAGGATAAATTCCTTGAAGTTGAACTGTTGCCCCAGAGGGTACAAGTGATTTTAAAGTTTTTAGTGCATAGTTCTGAATCCAGTTTCAGAGTGGTTGTGCTGTTTTAGACTCCTCAGCAGTGTGGGAATTCACTTACTCCCCCAAACTTGGCCAACACCAGAGGTAGCTCTTACTTACATCTTCACCATTTTGGTGGTAGAAAATGTTCTGTTAATTTTAGTTTCTGTTACTTAAGTAATAGCCAATCACTGTCCTGTGTCACATATATTTTTCTCTTTTTGTTTGCCTTCCCAGACTTAGGGCTTGTGTATTTTCCCATGCGAAAGTTTTTAAGTGTTCTTTGATTGGTTCTTTGGAACCAATCAAAACTATAGATTTCAATTATATTTCCTACTATATTTGTCTTTAATGCTGAAAATTCATTATGGGCTGTATAGAGATTTTATTCTTCCTTAACTCCCTCATAAATTGTTGACTTAGCATTTATTGAATCAAAAATTTTTAAATAACCAATAAAAGTTATTTCAGTACATGTTTCCACTTTGCATTTAAAGTGATTTGTTTTTAATTTTTTTTTTTCAACGTTTATTTATTTTTGGGACAGAGAGAGACAGAGCATGAACGGAGGAGGGGCAGAGAGAGAGGGAGACACAGAATCAGAAACAGGCTCCAGGCTCTGAGCCATCAGCCCAGAGCCTGACGCGAGCCTGACGCAGGGCTCGAACTCACGGACCGCGAGATCGTGACCTGGCTGAAGTCGGACGCTTAACCGACTGCGCCACCCAGGCGCCCCTAAAGTGATTTGTTTTTATAAAAACAGACCTAGCAGTGGCTGTGAACTCATGAAACCAAGTTGACCTTGTGGTCTTTCATGCTTCTTCCTATTAATGGTGTCAAAGAAAAGGGAATGACGTTGCTTTGTCTGTTTTCTCCCCAGAGTATCGAGATCGTTATGATTCAGACCGATACCGTGATGGGTATCGGGATGGATATCGGGATGGCCCACGCCGAGATATGGATCGATACGGGGGCCGGGATCGCTATGATGACCGAGGCAGCAGAGACTATGATAGAGGTCATTAAAAAACAACTGCGTTAAATTTCTTTCTTTCAAGAACGTCTTGCTTGCCTTTATTTCCTCTGGTGTGATGATCATAATTTGGGATATATTTACAGGTTATGATTCCAGGATAGGCAGTGGCAGAAGAGCATTTGGTAGCGGGTACCGTAGGGATGATGACTACAGAGGAGGCGGGGACCGCTATGAAGACAGATACGACAGACGAGATGATCGGTCATGGAGTTCCAGAGATGATTACTCTCGGGATGATTATAGGCGTGATGATAGAGGTAATCATTTCTTTTATTTGCTTAATAGGGAAGACCACTGGAGAAACTGATTGAAAAATTATCAGTTCTGTCTCAGACCCCTGAAGTGGGTTTGGAAACAGGATAGAATTTACACGTTGTAAGAGATAAAGCAGAGCCTAGTAGAAAGAGCATTGGACGAGGATGACAGAATGGAGATAAAGCAAAGGCTAATTCTTTTTAGTTGCCTTAGCGTATAGATTTTTCAGTTAAAATTTATTGAATATACAAAGGAGAAAAGGAAAACATTTGCCACGCAGTCTCCTAGCCAGTGATTGGCACTGTGGGGTTAAAAACCAAGTGTTGGTGATTTCAGTGCCATTATGCCACAGTAATTGACACTCAATTAATGGTAAGATGTAAGTGCACCTATTCTAAAATTATGCCCCTAATGTTAATAACACTTAAGTAAAAACATACTGTGTTACAAATCTGACCTCTCACAACGTATTAATTAATGGCCAGCATCTGTGTTCTGACTTCATTGATATCAAAAAAAAAACTGGTCTAGAATTTCTCCAATTATTTTTAGACCGATTGTCTACTACTCTTTTTAACATCCCCGTGTTAGCCCTGACTTTGTGCCAAGTGCTTTTTTTAAAAACATTGCTATTAACCACTTCCTCTGTTTCCATTCATGAAACCTAGAAATAACAACTAACATTTATTGAGCATTTACTCTGCACCAACGGTGAGCGGAGTACACTTACAGGTAGTATATGATCTTAAGCATTCTATCTAGTATAGGTACAATTATCATCTCCACTTCACTAGTGAGAAAAGTGGAGGCTTGATATGCACTTTGAATCTCAACTCCTGAGCTTTTTCCTCTCTCATGCCATTGTTGCCTCCCTCAGTAACTGCACACCTGATCTTTTTTTCTGGTGATCTTGTCTACAGCTCCCTCTAAGATTTGCCCCCTTATCTCCAGAGTAGCTGCCACTGGCTTTGTTCATACTTCATTTACTTCATTGCTGTGCTCACATTACTAACAAATTTCCCTGCCTTGTTCCATTCTTTACACTGGCCCAAATTGTCTTTCTGGAACAAGAGCTAATTAGATTATTCTTTCATGGCTTTTTTTTTTTTTTAATAGCACAAGTTGGGGAGGGGCAAAGAGTGGCTGGGACAGAGGATCTGAGGTGGGCTCTGCAGCAACGGCAGGGAGCCCAATGCGGGGCTCAAACTCAGAAACTGCGAGCTCATGACCTGAGCCAAAATCAGATGCTTAACTGACTGAGCCACTCAGGCGCCCCATTAGATTCTTTTAAAAGCCTTCCTAGTCTCTCCATGGCCTGAAAGATAGCCTTTCTTCTGTTCCTCTGACATACAAGGGTCTTTAGTGCTGTCTCCCATCCCTTGGACATCTACCATTAAGCTGCTCGCTCAGTTTTCTAGACTTTCAGGAGTCACCACTTGGAAGCCTTCACAGGTTTCCCCAAACATAGCCCCAGTCTAAGAACTTCCATATGGATAAATCTGTTTTGTCCAGTTTAGCATACTGTATTCTTTTTTTTTTTTTTTTTGATTCTCTGCTGAATTGCGCTCCTTGCAGGCAGGAACTAAATACTACCCCCAACTGTCATATTCGTGGCCTTAGAATGATATCTAAAATATAGGTGCTCAGATTATATGTTGAGTTGGTAAAATAAATGGAAATTATCAGACGGAGAAGAAAAGGATGTTATTGTGTACTATAGTGAAAGGAGCATAAAGTTGCTTTGATTTTTATCCTTTGATCCACAAAGTACTAACTGTAGGGCTTAAATGAGTTAACTCTTTCTGACCCCCGGTATTACCCTATAAAAGGGAAGTTAATGAGCCCTTCACAAAGTTATACATATTAAAACTGTATCAGTTAGAGGTACCTGGCTGGCTTAGAGGGTATGACTGGACCTTGGGGTCATGAGTTCAGGCCCCATGTTGGGTACAGAGATTACTTAAAGATCAGATCTTTTTGAAAAACTATCTTGGAAGTTTATATAAATTGGCAGTTAAAAACCCGTCTAGAAAATTTAAATCTTGGGGTGCGTGGGTGACTCAGGTAAGCCTCTGACTCTTGGTCTCAGGGCCATGAGTTTAAGCCCTACATTGGGCTCTGCTCTGAGCATGAAGCCTGCTTAAAAGGAAAAAAAATTAACATTGCCAAATGATACCCTTTTTTTGTAGATACATACATATGTTCTGTAGTGAGAGTATAAAGACCTGCATGGGGATGATAAAACCCGAATTCAGTGTAATGGTTGTGAGAAGACCGAACACAGTTAGGCGTGTCATCAGAGGAATGCTACTCAGGAACCTTCAGTGGGTATTGTAGTGTTTTATTACTGAAGCAGGTGGCTGACACATAGGCCTTATACCTTCTTTATCTTTGGTATGTTGGAAATACTTAAGATAAATACTAATTTTGAGAAATAGGATTTCCTTGAAACGTTCTAACAACTTGGATCCAAAATGAAATCAAATTCCTTTAGACTTTGTAATCAGCTATTCAGTGTTCTATACTGTACTCTGTGAATCGCTATAAGTTTATACTACACAGAGAGACAAGAGTATAGGCAGTAGAGTCTTACTGTTACAAGCTCTTAATGAAGTAATCCATCATCCAGACCACATTTTTGACCAAGATATTCTTCCATCCAATAGTTTATCATAGACAGTTCTTCCCAGGTAATCAGTAATCGTGATGACTTACCATTTAAATTTTTACCCTTTTTTAGTCTTTCCCTCAGTCTGGCACTGCATCATCAGCACTGTAGTGGAAAGATTGATTGGACTTGGTTATTTAAGCCACGCATTTTCTAATGATCTCCCTTCCCTGCTGGACTGGTTAGGCCACTACTCTGAATCCCATAGAGCGTTTTAGAAGAGCTGCATCTGGGAATCTGGCTTTCAGCCATCAGCTTCTGGTGATTTTGAAGAACTATTACTTAGAGTTTTATTTAACTTAGGTCCCCCCCAAAGACCCAAACTGAATCTAAAGCCTCGGAGTACTCCTAAGGAAGATGATTCCTCTGCTAGCACCTCCCAGTCCAGTCGAGCAGCCTCTATCTTTGGAGGGGCGAAGCCCGTTGACACAGCTGCTAGAGAGCGAGAAGTAGAGGAGCGGCTACAGAAGGAGCAGGAGAAACTGCAGCGCCAGCTGGATGAGCCCAAGCTAGAGCGACGGCCTCGGGAGCGGTGAGCTTCCCCTCGACTGTGGGCTTCCTGTCCACAAGTCTGGTGGCTCCGGGGGGGGGCCCCGCCCCCGGATGCATCCCTAGGGCACACTTGGGAAATTTTGACCTTGTTGGTTGTCACTAGCATTTAGTGGACGTGGGCTGGGACTGCTAGGCATGCTGGAGCGTATGGGACACTTTTCATCCAGTGAAGAGTTGCCTGTTGCTCACAATTTGTAAAAGGGCTTAACCGGGCTTAAACTGTGACAAATATAAATTGGTGGTAATTGGTGCTAATTTAATATAGGAGTTGTCAAATTATGGCCTGCTCCTTTTTTTATAAATAAAATTGATCAGGGGCGCCCTGGTGGCTCAGTCGGTTAAGCATCTGACTCTCTGTTTCAGATCAGGTCATGATCTCACAGTTCATGAGTTTGAGCCCCCATATCAGGCCTCTGTGCTGACAGCCCAGAGCCTGCTTGGGATTCTCTGTTTCCCTCTCTCTCTGCCTCTCCCCCACTCACATTCTCTCTCTCTCTCTCTCTCTCTCTCTCTCTCTCTCTCTCTCTCCCCCTCTCTCCCTCCTCTTCTTCCTCCCTCCCCCAAAATAAACATTTTTTAAAAAATAAATAAAAATAAAGTTTATTTGACCCACTAAGGAAAATTGCCAAACCTTGCTTTAGTATATGAAGTAAAGCCCCACCTTGGTGAGGCAAGTGGTTGAACCTCTTTCCAAGTTACTGGGGATAAAGTAGAGAGAAAATGTTTTTGCCTATATTAGACGTAAGTTGTAAGTTATTTTCCATTTATTTTTACTTGTGTGTATGTTACTTACTTTATCCAAGGGTGTTTCAGGATCGTAAAGGAGTCGTTGCTTAAAATGTTTATTATTGAAAGGTGGCACTGGATCTAATAGGGTAGAAACGTTCTGAAAAAATGGCCTAGTTTTGAATGACTTGTTGAATTGTGTTACCAATAAGGGAGGAGGGCTGGAGATTATGTAGGAGAATGTTCTTAACCCTAGTTGGTGCTTGCTGAAGTATTTAGAGCCAAAGTATCTTCATGTCTGCAGCTTTCAGATGGTTTGAGAGACAAGATGCACACACGCACCCACAAGTAAAGCAAGCATGATAAAATACCAATAAGTGATGGTTCTTGAAGGGGCAGCATGGGTCCATAATGGCCTTCATTTAGCTGGACATTTGTTTTGTTTTGTTTTTTTAATCTCTTTATACAGACACCCAAGCTGGCGAAGTGAAGAAACTCAGGAACGGGAACGGTCCAGGACAGGAAGTGAGTCATCACAGACTGGGACCTCAGCCACATCTGGCAGAAGTAAGTCAGACCAGGGTGGGTATCATGTTATCGCCCTTTTCCATAAAGTAGCCATAACCAAACTATGCAGAGCCTTTGGGGTGTTAAATTCAGTCATGGACATTTTATTTGGGTTAGCATAGATTGATTGGAGTGTCACATCTCATGGTTTGAAAAATCTGAGAAATAGGTGCCAGAAGCAACGTAGGTGACCTGTTTAATAAGTTTCCACTAAAGAGTATACTTGACTGCTGGATTTTCTCTTCCTTTTGCGGACATTCCAGAGTTTTCCTTTACTTAGAGCAGTCACAGTCCTACAGCTCTCTCTGAGCTGCTCCCAGGGCCAGCCTTTTTGGATGTCCGGTGCAACCGGAGCAGTGTCTCAAGCAATGATCTCCTGCTCTTCATCCATCCTTCCTTCCTGCCTTGAATTTATTGATTCGTCACACATATGTTTAGTGTTTTGGAAACAGAAGTTCAATTATAACACCTCCCTTACCTTATTACTGTGAGCCAGTGTTTTTTTGTTTTCTCCTCTCACCTCCAAACTGATTTGTGCTTGAGCACTTCAAAGTATGGCTCAAGGATGAATTTCCAAATCACCTCAGCCAAGTGTTGCAGAAGTTTTCTGTCAAACATTCATACTGGAGTAGCCTTTTAGTGACAGGACAATAATGCTTCTCTTTGTAGCGAGGTGGGAGTATGATGGTTGGGTTGATTATATACCTCCTGAGGAGATTGCACTTAATGTAGGAAGAATCTAATAAAATAAACTTTTAGTTTTGAGGAGATATTTAGTGCCTTTAAGAAAAAAAAAACATAATGTAGGTTTTGTTTTTCATAAATGTATATCCCATTTTGTTCTATGTATGTGGATTTGAGGCTGCATCAGGGTCCTCTTCACACATGTATGTGTATCCTTCTCCAAGTACAAACATTTTAATACAAAATGTAGCAAGGCTATAATCCCGAAGTAAAGAGTATTAGTTCCTAGGAAAGGAGGTGGCTGTCCTTGAGAAGCTGTTGTATTTCCTATTTTTCTTGCATCCGTAAAACATTTTCTCAGAGTAACATTTGGTAACCACTAGTTCGGGGATAACTTATCTGTTGGGAGTCGGATGGGGTCTATATTTAAGAATAATGATGAAAAACAGTAAACTTGGGTGTGGACCATTTTCTATTCTGTCTGATTGTAATGGATGGTTGTATCATAATTTCTCTCAATAATTTAACCTTCCTATCTGACTTAACAGATGCACGAAGGAGAGAGAGTGAGAAGTCTCTAGAAAATGAAACACTCAATAAGGAGGAAGACTGTCACTCTCCAACTTCTAAGCCTCCCAAACCTGAACAACCTCTAAAGGTAATGCCAGCCCCTCCACCAAAGGAGAATGCTTGGGTGAAGCGAAGTTCTAACCCTCCTGCTCGATCTCAGAGCTCAGACACAGAGCAGCAGTCCCCTACAAGGTGAGTCCGCTTAGAAGCACGGCAGCTGCTTAGCTGTAGAATCTTAAACATTGTGGTATCATGGTAGAAAGTGCCCTGGATGGGGTATCTGGGCAGCCCAGTCAGTTGAGCCGCTGACACTTGGATTCAGCTCAGGGATTTTAAAAAATTATAAAGAAAAAGAAAGTGCCTTACATAGCAGCTTTTAAGTTATGCTCTTTGCTCTCAATTCAAATTCAGTGGTGTGCTGGAGCTGGCTCATTAAAGCTAATTGTTCAGCTTTCTAGAGTTTTGATAACTGGTTGGCATCACTTTGGCTGCTTGAAACCTGCAACCTGGTCATCAGAACCTGCTGCAACCACATTTGGCAGCGTGGCTTTGGGGGTCGATTCACTTCCCTAAGTCTTAGGATCCTCATGTGTAAAATAGAGAATTGTATTCACCTTGTGTGATCGTGATGATTCTACAGGACATGGTACTTAGTGTTCGTGTAATTGCTTTCATTGTTGTCTTTTCTATACTTTAATGTTCCACAGTGTTAAGTCTGTATTTTTGGTTCTCTGTAAAGCTTACTACTTTATAAGTTTCTTACCGGTTCTTTCCCTAAGACTGATAAACTTGATTACATGTTTTCCTTCCAGTGGTGGGGGGAAAGTAGTTCCGGCTCAACCATCTGAGGAAGGACCAGCAAGGAAAGGTAAGACCAAAAGGAAGTTGGTTTTTCACATAGATAAGAGGCCTAAATAAAAAGCCTATAAAGATAAAGGAGTCCCTAAATAATTGAACTTAAGTGTAATTTTGCACCTGTTTTTGTATTAAAGGTTCTTAGATTATCTGCCTTTTCTTGCCAGTAGAGGGCAAAAGTGGTCTCTTTGGAAAAAGCATGGAGTCCTGCCCTTTCCTGGTAGAACATTTCTTTGAAAGGGGAAAAAAAGAATCGGAAGGAAATTAACATGCTCAGTCCAGATTAGAAATGTCACCATCTGCAAGGCCAAGGTCACTACAACAACGTCATAGTCCTTATTTCCAGTTTGCTCTTCATGATGGCGTAACCCTAAAGTGGAATTTTTTAGTGGGTCTTATTTGGGGGCGAAAGGAATGTGGAAAGAAGGGTTTAGGAGAGAAATCTGGGTTGGGGTGAGGTTGAGTTTCCCTCAGTGCACATGGGCACACTTTTCTGCAGCTGAAAGGAAACTTAGGAGAGGGACAGTACTTAATTTTTTACTTGCCTTCAATTTATTTTTGCATCTTCACACAAACAGATGAAAACAAAGTAGATGGGGTGAGTGTCCCAAAAGGCCAAAGTGGGAACTCCAGCCGTGGTCCAGGAGACGGAGGGAACAAAGACCACTGGAAGGAGTCAGATAGGTATGCGTGTTCTCTCTTGCCATTTGTAATCTTTCATCTGATGCTGGATACATGTGTCCCTGTAGTTAAGAAGTTCTTGGTTCTCCAAGTGTTGCCATATCTCCTATGGTAAACAAAGGAAAGTCAACCAGTGTGGACAGTTAACAGTTCCAAGGATCTGGAAGCAAAATGTCCAGATAGCAAGCACTGTTGGCTGGACGGGCCCGTTCAGTGCCTCCCACCTGCTTGTGGGTGTTGAGAGAGTCCTCTCCTAAAGACATGGTTTTACACTTACATCTCTGCAGGAAAGATGGCAAAAAGGATCAAGACTCCCGATCTGCACCTGAGCCAAAGAAACCTGAAGAAAATCCAGCTTCCGTAAGTGTTAAATGCTAATAGATTTCTCTCAGCTCACGTTTGCCATTGAACTCCTTTATGCTTGGGGCTGGAATCCGAGTGGTTGGAAATTGTCAATCAGGCATCGTTGCTTGTTTGAAATTGTAAAAGAAACTTAGTTTTTTCCAGTTTTCTGCCTTGCAGTCTCACTACTCTTACTCCCTCTCCAAGATAAAAGGAGGTGGAGGTCTCCTGTAAGAACACCTGGGCCTCTGGCCTAGCCTCCCTAGCTACTCTTGGCCAGCGTAAAATGCTAATGAACAAGGAGGTGGGCCTGACCTGGCCCCTCCCTTTTGCCCAAGTATCATTGTCCTGTTTCTTGGGTTTTGATGTGCGAGTTCAAGGCTTTGGTGATTTTCTCACTCGTCTATTCCAGAAGTTCAGTTCTGCAAGCAAGTATGCTGCTCTCTCCGTTGATGGCGAAGATGAGAACGAGGGAGAAGATTACACCGAATAGACCTCTGCATCCTGTGCTTTCTCCTAGTCTCTCCACCCTGGAACATTCGAGAGCAAATCAAACCTCTATTCAGACAATAAAACTCACCATCTCCTGGAGACCTTTCTTAACTTTTTTTTAAAAAAACAAAAAACAAAAAAACAAAATGAAATGAAATTCTTTTGCATGCTGCTGCAGCCTTTAAAGTATTGAACTAACTGGAGAATCGCCAATGTAGCCAGAGAGAAAGAGACGTACAGCTTTTAATGGAAAAGTTGTGCATTTTTACGACACATGCAGTTGCCTGTGTGATTAGTGCCTGGGGGCCTCCATTTAGCAAAATGGCAGTGACAGTGATGCAGTGTCTGGATCTGGTTGGGCAGTAGGACAGGTTTAAGGAAGAGTGAGAGTTCTATCTTTTCCTTCTTAATATCCTATTGTGGCACATATGAATTCTCAAACAGTACCTGAATAAATTTTCCATCCTCGGAAAGGTAGGCTTAGTCTCTCAAGTTGTTTTTTAGTCTCCAGGAGTCTGCCAGCCCCTCTTAATTCTGAGTTACTGGGGCCAGCCTAGGGGGAATTCCTTCATTTTTACCCCCCAGGGGGGTAGTGGAGAGTGAGTCTATAGGCCACAAAAGAATAAGGACTGCTCAGTGACCAAAATAAACGGGAAAAGTTGTGGTTTGAAAAGAAGCTGCGGGGAGGCGATGGATTATTTTGCACCAGTAATAAGGGGAAATGGTATGACCTCCAGTAAACAACAAGTGGTTACTTCCTGGAGCAGGAAGCACTTATGGGTCATGGGAATTCCCAAGTCTTGTATGTCCTGGTTTTGCCCTTAAACGCCATCCTTCCTGAAAGTTCACATCCATCTACATTCAGCTGAAATCTTGAAGCTTTAAAAATGTAGACTCTCGTCCTGGGCTTCTGATCTTAATGCTACTTTTTGCTGTCACCTCCCAGAAAGCAGCTTCTATTTAAATCACATACCTGATCTAGGCATTCTAGACCCGCCCCAGGGAGCAGAAGCTAATGAGGAATCACTGCTTTTCTCAAGCAAATCTTGGCTCCTTCATGTCTTTTGACTCTCACTCCTTCCCTCCTCCATTCCTGCTCCTACTTCTTTGACTCCTTTTACACCTCAGAAGATTACAGAATTAACGGTCTTAGGTGGTGAGTGAGGGTGGATAAATAGGGTCAAATTGTGAGCCGTTCTTATGACCTTGATTGGGGCTTTTTTTGTTTTTACAAGTTTCCTTCTCTCCATTGAAATCCCACACCAATGTTTGGATTGATAATGTGGCCTCAACCAATGTGTGGTTTTTTGGTGGGTTTGTGTTTCTTTGTTGTTTTGTTTTTGTTTTTTTAGCTTCCCTTGAGAGAATAAATGATAATGGAGAGAACTGTGTGACAAGGTCCTGGTTTCTCTTGCAACACAATAGCTTAACTTGCCTGCTTTTACGTGCACCTTTGTACCGTCAGCCCGGTAGACGGCATCCTTCGGGGTGATCTCAGTCTCTCGTTCACAAGCCCTTCACCCATCGGTCCTAGATTAGACCCTGTCTGGCCACGCAGACCTGTTGGTTTAGGAGTGCTGCAGCAGGGGGCATAATGAATGAATCGTTTAGCCAGTGGACATAAAGAGGCTTACCAAGTGAAGTAACTAAATAATTGGCTTGGATTGGCCAGTAGCCGGGAAGTGGCTTTTAGAGATACCCAAGGCTGAAAGGGGTTTGTTTTTTGGGTTTGTTTGGTTGGGGTTTTTTTGTTTTTTGTTTTTTTTGGTTGAAAAAAACAAACCATTTGCTGTAGATGATGAAAAGGTAGGGTTTGCCCTCTACAGGTCTACTTCCAAATACTTGTCTCCAAAACTTTTTTTTTTTTCCCATTCCCCTCTCCTGCCCCCGTTATAACAGAAACGGGTTATGTCCCGCTCCTTAATACGTGTAAAATTTGTACAAAATATCTTCTATGAAAATGATTTGTAATCTGTAGACTTAATACCTGGGAGATGTCTTGAGATGTAAAATCCCATCCTTTGGGTTGTGGGGTGTTTTTTTTTGTTTGTTTGTTTTCTCCAAATAAATCTGATCTTTGAAGTTCACTTCAATGCTGAAATTCTTTTGACCATATACTCCACTCCTGTGCCTTTTACAGGCTCCCCACCCGTCTCTGAAGTCCTCTGGGCGTTAGGCACTGTCCTGGGCTAGGGGTGGGGTTACCAGGGGAATCTTTACTGAGGCCCAAGAACTGGAAATTAGCATCCACTCCCCTCCAGCATTTTGGCCTGGTGGTAACCTTTAATATTTGAAAGTACCTGCAGTCCATTTCCTACTTCATGGCCTGGAGGCCGTGCCTCCACCCTCCACTCAGCAGTCTGCAGAGGCACTGCCTCCACATTCCGTGCTACATGGCACAGGCAGGCTGGGTTCTTGTTGATGAGCTGGTCTGGGTTACAACGGAGGCCCCAGATGCGGTGGGAAGTTTCCAAATGGCTAGAGATGGGCTGTTCCGTGTTGCAAGGCAGGAAAGAGGTTAGCACCGTGGCAGAGAATCCTTAAGGTCACAATGGGGTGAAGCAGAGAAAGCCCAGGAAAGCTCAGTCAACAATTTGGGGGAAGATTGGGCAGGGGGGGTTGCTGGCACGGGAGCCCAGCTACACAAGTGGCTTTCCTAGGCCCATCGCAGCAACTGCAGTTGTGGTTCTTGACGGTGCACTGATCTCTTCAGATGTGGAGGGGTAAGAGGCTCAGCATGCTGTGCTGACTCAGCTTTCCGTGTGGGAAAGGAAGCTTTTAGGTGGGAAGGAAACAGGCCGCTGCCCAGGCTGCCTGTGGAACCCACCTCCACTGCCCGCATCGGTCTGCCACTTTCTCCAAGCCCTCATTTCCAGCCACTCGCCAGAGGCTGGGTAAATGACGATGGAAAGGAGACTAGGGGCGCCTGGGTGGCCCAGCCCGGCTTTCGGCTCAGGTCGTGATCTCATGGTTTGTGGGGTGGAGCACAGAGCCTGCTTGGGATTCTCTCCTCTCTCTGCCCCTCCCCAGCTGGCATGCTCTCTCCCTCCTCTCCCCACCTCAAAAAATAAAAGAATCCGAGTGGGAAAGGCTAACTTCAGAGAGATTCATGTTGGTTGGGCACAGGAAGGGTAAAGAAAGGAGCTCCCTGTACTGTGTCCCAAGAGGGTACTTGAAATCCAAGGGAAAGGTAGGCGCTGGTACAACCCCCATCTTCAGAAGTAGATCCCAGGACCGGTGCGCCCTGTCAACCTGCCATAAATCTTGAATGACCAGAAGGGTACAGGTACAGCATCCGACTTTACAAGGGTCACTTCTAGGCTGCTCGGATCCTGAGTTAAGTCCACGTAGCTTAGATTCTCCTAAACAGAATCGAGCACCAGGCTCTGGATCCCAAGGCAGTGAGGGTCCCAGTTAGTGCCAAAGGCGTCCCCTAAAGTGCTAAGCAAGCTCACAGCATCTGGTTTCTCAGGAAGTGGGAGAGCTACACATCTGCTCCTGGGAAGCATTATTTCTCAAATAAAACCTTGTTTCCTGGCAACCGTCATAGCCCCCAGGGCCACAAGTGAAGGGGGGACTCGACTTCCCTCACCCTCCTGCCTCCCCAGAAAGGAGTTTGGAAGAGGCGAGCTGTGCTGTGCTGCTCCACACCCAGCTGCAGCAACCTCCCGGTTGGACAATACACCCTCTGTCCTCTGTCCTGGCCAGCAGATCCGCCTCTGGAGTGAGCTCTGCCCCTTCCCCCGCTCTTCCTGGTTCCCAGTGGCCAAACCCTCCACTCAAATCCTCCTGACCCAGTGCTCTCCCCGCCAGGATAGCCCATGCCCCTCAAAGCCCTCCCACCCCAAGGATCTGAGCACACTCAGTCGCAGGCATGGGATCACCCCAGACCTTGGAAGAGGGGGTCCAGCCTTCAGTACCAAGATGGGCTGCCCTCTGCATAGTCAAGGTAAGAAAACCTGCATGGAGGGAGGGGTCAGAAGGACTCATGATACTGTTCCTGAAATGCTGTTTCACCTTTGCTAACATCATCCTGTCTTCCTTCTCCCTTTCCTCTCCCTTCTGAAGCTTCTGTTGCTCTGAACTGGTAGTCAGAATGTCTGGCTGGCTCCATATGCCACCCGTGTTTACAGCACGCCCAGCAAGCCACCTCCTGTGGATAATTTTTCACTCTCAACCTTCCTCATCAGCTTCCCTCCTGCAGCCCCCTCAGCCCCTGGTCCCCAGGTTGACAGCAGGAATCAAGTCTGAGCTGAAAGTTCAGCTGCCCAT